AGATCCCAGGTGTGAAAGTATCTCATGCTCATTGATAGTTTGGTTAATCTGGTGCCAGTGGCATCATATTGTTTAATTGGTGTTTCTTTGATAATCTGGAAAGCTGAATTTGTCACTAGTTTACACTGAGCAACTTCTAATTATCTAATCACCTTTCAGCGGAGCCCTTTTTTCTGGAACAAGCCGGAAGGCTCACCCAAAGGCGCGTGGGCGGTGAGGTGCTTTTGAATCGAGTCTCCCCAGGAAAGAGGCTGGGCGGGGCCGTGAAGTGAAGGGAGGGCAGTGCTGTAACGTTATGCTCCTCCAGCGCAGCCCTGAACGTCCTGCCAGAGGCTCAGTGGGTAGGGAAGGCAGAAAAGAAGGCTTGGAAGGGGGGGCGTTGATAGGGCCGGGGTAAATGTGGACGCAGGTGAGGGGAAGACCCTAGGCCTGTCTGAGAGGTGTGACTGGAGTGGGAATCCGGATCTTTCAATCTCTCCACTTTTAGCCCGGCTCAAGTGCCTTGCTGGGTGCCATGCTTCCTGCCCTGTAGGGCTGAGGTTCCGGTTCTCCTCCACTCCCCATCTCCACCCTTGACTCCTCCCTCCCCTCAAGGTTCTGCTAAAGACTTCTACCCACTAATGGGCCCAAAGACTACAAATAACTTCCAAAATCAGCACAGCAGGGGCCTCCTGGTAGTATAGGGGTTAAGGCTCAGGCTATCATGGTAGAGGAGGGAGTTCCCTTCCAGGCCTGGAGCTGACCCACATGGCACAGCAGACCTCTCCTGCCTCCCCAGCAGTGGATTTCTGTAAATCCCTCCATCCCACTCTCTCTGGTGAATCCTTTTCCTCCAAGTCTGGTTTACACCCCAATTCTTCAATGCCTAAATAAATAAATCTTTTTTAAAAACTCAAAATCTGCTCGGCAGGTGTTACCCCATATACTCCTGGTGTGTGGAGGATGCTGGTGGGAGGAGTGTTATACTTTTGGATTTCCTGAAATTAGAGAGAGGTTACCTCTGAGACAGTGAAGTGGGGTCAGGACCACAGAGGGTCATTCCAGACATCACACACATCGGTTCCAGCTTCTTGAATCTCCTTAACCAATTAGATCATGGATTGTATGCTCAATCAAAAAAAAAAAAAGTCAATAAAAATAAGTATTTGCAAACATCTGAGTAAGAGGATTAAGAGAATTACTCCCTGCCCCCAGCCTGGCCCTGGTTACAATAACACTTCTGAGTGCAGCAGGAAAGGAAGATTTCATGGAAAGGAAGATCCCGGCCCTAGACTGTACACTTAAAGCTCTGGGCAACAGAAACATAATGGGAGGCACAAATGTAATTAAAATTTCTGTAGTAATCCCATCATAAAAAGACAGATGAAATTTCAGTACTAAGTAATTTAATATTTTATTTACTCAATGTAGTTAAAATATTTTAACATGTTTTCAATACAAAGATTATTAACGTGACAGTTTACATCTTTTTTGCTATAGTTCAATGTGCATTTTACATTTACAGCACACACTCACGTCCCATTTTGGACCTGCCAGTCCATTCAAGTTTGAACACGTGGTTAGCGGCTACCACCGTTGACAGTGCAAATCTGTGTATTTACAAGCATGTATGTCCATATTTTTAAAACTGGCAAACGGTATGAACATCCTTTTACACCTTGCTGTCTTCAATATACTTGGACATGGATCCGTAATGGTATATGTTGATATTTACTCAGTTCCCTAATGCTGAACTTTAGGTCACTAACTTTTACAATGAGGCAGCAGGTATGCATAGCACGGATTCCTAAAGAGGAACTGCTGGAGGGCATAAACTTACTTTATTGAAATCTCCTTTTCCCTTTCCTGAATCTCACTTCCTTAAGTTTCTTATGTTGAAGACTAGGACCTCACCTCCTGCCTCCCTGCACCTCACACAGACCTGAGCCCAAGTCTGGCTTCTGATCCCATATGCCACTTTTTAAAAAAAGATTTATTTTATATATTTATGCATACAAGAACTAGGCCAGAGGTTGGGGGAGGGGGATGAGAGGATTCACCAGAGACGGAGTGGGGAGCAGAACAGGCAGATGGACGAAGTGCACTGCTGAGGGGAGCAGTGGGCAAGACAGTCTGGTCTGCTGTGCCATGTGGGTCAGTTCCCTGGCTGGGGACTGAATTCATGCCAGGGTGGCTGGTGATAGCTTCATAGTGCTGAGACTTTAACCCCTGCGCCCCTAGGGAGGCCCCGCATATGCTACTCTTACAGATTTTTCTTAAGGAGATGACAGAAGTACACAGAGATGAATATTCACCCAGTGGAACCCAGATGCCAAGCCAGGTGTCCTTCAATGGGGAGCAGCTACTGCAGAGGGCTCCCCTATACCAGGCAATACTTGCAGCCTTTAGAGAGAATGAGCATAGCAGTGCAGGGCACCTTCAGAGCTCACTATGGAGTTGCTAATTAGTGCATCATTACATATTGGGGTCTTGGAATGGCCGATTGAAGAAAGTGTTCTGTGAAGAAGAGAAGTTTGACACTCACTCACATAGACCTTCACTAACTTGAAAAGATGTTCAGGGCCTCCCTGGTGGCCTAGGGGTTAGGTCTTATAGCACTATCACCTCCATGGCCCGAGTGTGATCCCTGGCCAGCAGGCTGACCCATGTGTGGGGCAGCAGTGGGCCGCTGCTCCCCTCAGCAGTGTATTTCAGTAAATCCACCTGTTCTGTTCCCCACTTTGTCTCTGATGAATCTTCTCACCCCCTGCACATCTGGCCTACACTCCAGTTCCTCTACACAAAATAAAGACATTAAAAAAAAGATTTTCAGAATATGGGCCACACAATGTTGTACTAAGTATGGGCCCACTAAAAACAGCACACATGGTGGAATTAAAAGTGATGAAATGTTTTTATTCTCAGAATTTCCTGGCTTTAAGATATTTTCTCAATTTTCCACTCCTAAGTATATACCCAAGAGAAAAGAAAACATATGTCCACATTAATGCTGCAAACAAGCAGCATTATTCATAACTGCCAAAAGGTAGAAATGACCCAAAATGTTCATTAACTGACAATGGATACTATTCAACCATAAAAAAAAAAATAAATAAATAAAATGCTGACAGACGCTACATCAGGGATGAACCTTGCATGATACTAAGTGAAGGAAGCTAATCATAAACAACGTATATCATATGATTTCATCATATAAAGTGTCCAAGGCAGAAACCTACAGATAGAAAGTGGATTAGTGGTTGCTTAGAGCTGGGGAAGGGTAGGGTGGGGATGGAGAATAGGGAAGCCATAACTAAAGGATATTGTCTAAGGCAATGAAAATGTTCTCAAATTCACTTTGATCATAGCTGCATGTATCTGTATATTGTACCATTTAAACGGGTAAATTATATGGTATATAAGTTATCTCTTAAGAAAGTCTTTTTAAGTATATGAGCATATACTATGAAGGACTGGGGTATTTTCCTAGCTCCAGGAATTGTACAGCTATTCTCAAGTGGCTCTTCAACCTCTTTCTGTTAACTGCAGCTAAATTCCATCACCAGGCCCCCAGTGTCCACCACTTCCTGGGAACCACACAAAGGGCACTGGAATGCCACCTCAAAGGCAGAAAAGTAGCTGCACACCTGTACGATGGCACAACCATCTGCAGGCACCTCATGACCGTCCGCGCAGCAGTTCACAAAGCCCTTTACCAGGCCCTCCCAAATGACCTTTCCCGCACCAGTCCGTCTGGGTACCTGAGATCCCGCCTCTTTCTGTAAGTTCCATTTCTCCAGTTATCCATATCAGGGAAGTCTATGTTCACCTTCTCTCTTCCTTATCCAGACTGCCCAAAGCTGTTTACCAGCCCTTATACTCATTCCACTGCTTTTCATGCCCCTCAGCAAGCTTTCCATTCTCTTTTGCATTTTAAAGGGGCTATAGTGCTGGCTTGTTGAAGACAAGCTGGAAAATTCAGTGCAGTAGAGAAAAATAAAAGCCCACCAACCAGTTCATTCACCCTGTTACCTGTGGATTATAAGCCAGGAGGGTTAGGAAG